AGGTATTAATAATTTTGCTTCCTTTATTAGATTTTACCTGAACCGGTACTATGGGTAGCTTGCAGTCCTCATCTCCAGCCCCTGTAAGACCACTTGACACCAGCATGTTGTCAACAGGCACCACTGTGTTCCTCTCAGTCTGCTCAGTAACATGTGCAGGTTCCCTATGAAGTACTGTAGGATGCTTAAGGTTACACTTTGAACAGGAAATCCTTTTACGGCAATTTTTACTGATGTGTCCTCCTGTACACAAACAGCCAAAACATATACCATTTTCCCTCAAGAAGCCTATCTTCTTCTCGTGTACCATCTTCCCCAGCTGTACACACATATCTAGGGTGTGTCCTCCTCCACAGCACATACACACTTTCTTATCTGTTGTTATAATTTCCTTCCTTTTCTTTTCAGACTGACATTTACTTTCCACAGCGCCCACACTGGTCGCAAAGCTGATTCCTTTGTTTCCTGATCGATATTGTGACTTAAGTTTGTTCATTCCTTTATTTCCACTTACTGATGTAGTGTCTTGTATGTTGCCAAACACCGGATCTGTGAGTATTTTCACTTGCTTCTCAATGAAATCAGCAATGTCTTTGAACTTAACTCTCTGGTTATTTCTTTCCTGCAGCTCACAAACCTGGCTCCTCCATCGATCTCTGAGTTTATATGGAAGTTTTTTAATAATACACAACATATTAAAAGGCATGTCTAAGTCATGAAGATACTGCACATCCTCCATTGCATTACAACAGCCTCTGAGAAAGAAACTGAAATCCTGCAGAGCCTTCACATCCTCGGTTTTAATTGGAGACCATAAAAGGGCTTTGTCCATATAAGCAGAGGCCACTTTCTGTTCGTCCCCAAACTGTTCCTTCAACAAAGTTTTTGCTTTCAAATATCCTCGATCTGGATTCATATAATGACAGCTCCCCACAAGTGCTTTAGCATGGCCCCTTGTATATTGCTCCAAGAAATACAAACGGTCACAGTTGTCATTTATATTTTTCTCAATACCATTCTCAAAAGCTCTAATAAAAGAGTGGTATTTCAGTGGGTCACCATCAAATATGGGTATTTCTCTTTTTGGTAAAGCTGAAAGCCCCTGTTGCTGCATCAACAGTGTTGTTACCTCGTTCTGTTTCTTCATGAGACCAAGAACACAATTTTTGGTTTCCGAATCCATGAAAATATCTGTATTGAAATCATGTGGTCCTTTTGAATCTTGCATGTCGAAAGAATTCAGGTGGTTTTGCGAAAATGGTGGGTCAATGATGTTTGATGGAGTTATATTGTCCAACACTGGAGTAAGCTTGACTTTGGGTTTAGCTCCTAAATTTCTCTCCTTATTTGAATCTGATGGAATAAATTCACCTGCATCAACATTGAGTGGTTGTTTAGACTGTTTTGCCACATAAGAGTTCATCCCATCTGAAACATTTGATGTCAGTATCACGCTTGTTGTTGTACTGTGTGTTTTGAGAACCTCAAGTTTTGCCTGTTCTCCTGCAATTTCAGCATCCAGTTGCAATCTTTCTTTCCTTTTACGCAACTTTTCCTCCTCTTCTTCCAGTGCATGTCTTTCTTCTAATAATTTTTTCTTCATGGCTAAAGCAGCCAACTCAGCTTGGGCTTTTAAACGTGCAGATGAGGTTGAAGAATGTTTTGACAGTGATGATTTGTTACAGCTTATGTTTGAGACACTATCACGTGGATTAATTTCATCCTCATTTTCAACTTCATTTGATTTTGCAGAAATCACATTTTCGTTCATTTCTGTTGCATTCTGTGAAACACCCTGGGTTTGCTCAGTTTCACTGATCCATTGCTCAGTTTGGTTTTGAAACACACTGCTGTAATTCATTATGCTTAAAACCCATTCCTTTTGTTTAAGAAATTCATCCTCAGGAAGTAATGGCATAAGTTCATCATGTGCATTAACAGCACTCTCACACATTGTGTTTAAAGTCATTAAACATTGCTTTATTTGAAGGATGTTTGCCTTTTGTTTCATATATTCTTTCATTTTTGGTATCAACCCTTTGATTTTATCAACAGCACGTTTACGTTCACATTGCAATCTCTCAATTTTATTCAGCAAGGCCTTTTGAGTGAGTTTGCTTTCCCTTTTCTTTCCCATCTCTTCAACCGAGCACGGGGTACCACCAGTTTGACTCATAGTGACTCTTTTGATTCAGTGTTCAGTGAATCACAACATCCAAACACAATGCAACGTTTGAACACGCTCAAACGATTCGATTCAATTCAACAGCAGTTCATTTTCCTTCCAAACAACATCACGGCATCACACAAACAAGCCGCAAAGTGCAGACTTCCTACAGACACCAAAGTAAGTCGCGCGACCTCGCGCATCCGATTTGCATTCCAAACAACTTTAACATGCACCAATGCCAACCAGATTCCTCATCCACACATATATCCACAGATAAACTTATCTGTCCTATGAAAACGAACACATGACGTGGCCCATTTGGTTTGCAATCGCATCACTTACTTGGCGTCTTCCTGATTCGTCTGTGCGCTGATTTTGCGAGCGATGATTTTCCTGATAAGATGCCGTTTTTTGTTGACAAAATATTGCGACTTCCTGATGCCTCCTATAAGTCGCTCGAGAGGCAGTGAGGGTCCTTTATATTTGTGACGCGCTGGTGGCTTTAGACAGAGACACTGAGCCCAAGATGTTATATGGAAAACTTTATGTAACTTGAAGCATGAAAAAACAATACAGCAATTTGTGTCTTTGAATACCTTGTATGGTGCCGATTATTGCGTTGGTGTGATGATTGTTGCGTGTGCCGTTGTGATACAGTTTTGCGTTGCTTGGTTTGCGTTGCTGTTTGCGTGGCTGTTTGCGCTGCTGTTTGCGTGGCTGTTTGCGCTGCTGTTTGCGTGGCTGTTTGCGGTCAACAAAAAATACGGCTACCCCACTCTCCTTCTCTCCTCATCACCTGTGTGATTGTGCACGCGCTTTATGTTCGAGCAGGTGCCAATTATGCCCACGTGACCAAAACATAAAACGTCACTGTGAAACCCAAACCAATCAGTATCAAATAAACATTATAATTAAATGAAAAGTAATATGGCTCCTATAATGGATGAAAAAGCGAAGGTGTGCATTCATTTAAAAAATGCGCTTAAAAAAACATATGCGCATAACCGAGTGGGATAAACTTTTTATTAGATAAGATAAGATGCAGATGAACTACAATGGAAACACTTTTACTGAACAAATTCAAGTATGAATTTTTTGTTATGAGATCATGTGATGATAAAAATGTGTGTGAATGGATAAACTAGCAGGCTGAGCAGATTGTAAAGCATTTGAAATGTTGTTTTGGTCACTCTAAAACGCCATAACCGTTTTAGTATTAGTGTTATTATATTATTAATTATCTCCAGAATCAAGAGCGTCAACTGCCACTGCACCTTTACTGCGTGTCAGGGTTGCCTTCTGAGGCACAAGTCATTTATTAAATAAAGAAAAGACTGAAGCAGCTTCTCCTAACACAGCAAATTCCTTTTATACTGTTCATATTTGGTGCCAGTTTATCAGAAAGTGACGGTTTTGCCCTCTTTGACTTGTTGGATGGAATCGCTGCTTTATTTGCATATTTATATATTTTATGCGCTAATCCAGTTATGCGCATAAAGTTAATTTGCATTTTTGTTGCCAATACCGATGTGAAATGACGTTGATATTTTCTTGATTTTGGGTTGTGTTGGAAAGTGACCAAAATCCAATGCCGAGCTAACATCTTCAACCAACGTCATATTGACGTCAAGTACTGACATTTATTCATCAGGTATGACAACCAAAATCCAACATCTGAAAGATGTCATAGTAGTAACCTTCACACCACATCAAGCTATAACATCATTAGATATTATTGGAAAGTAACCAAAATGCAACATCTGTCAATGTCCAACGTCAGGTTCTGAGATCAACCCAATTTTCATTCACAAACAAAATGCAACGTCGCACGACGTTGAGGTACAATGTCAATCTAAAATCTGCTGACATCCTGTGCCTGCTGGGTTGATTTTAGTATATTTTTAGCCATAATCATTTGTCAGCAACTTGTGGTTGGTCACTCCACCACTAAAAGCACTTTGTTTTAAAAGGTTCAAGTAAGACATGATGGGAAACGAGTTCTTGTTTCCCTTTTCCAGTATCAAGTGTATATTCTGTTATTCCCTAGTACCAAATATGTGTTGAATGTAAACTCTTAGGAAGACTTTTGACTAATAATTATTCTGAAAATATTCTCGAAAAAAGAAATCTTCTCGTTGATTGATCCATGCCTATGTTGTCATCCAAAATCCCATTTGTGACACTTCACTTTGTCAATTGGTGAAGTTTTTCCTCTTGCCACTGTTGCCACTGGCTTGCTTGGATTGGTACTTGTGGAGTTGCGCATAGATTTGCTTTTCAGTGTTTCAACTTTTAGCAGTGAAATTTAAACCACACTGAACTGAACTTCAACTCTGAAATCTAGACTTTACTAGAACCATGTTAAGCTGCTTTGACACAATCTACATTGTAAATGCGCTATAGAAATAAACATGAATTGCATTGAAATCACCTCTGAAACTGACACATAAAAAGTCAATTTTAAACAAGCAAGTAACTTTGAGTCAAGATAGTCTTTCTCTCTAGTCAATTTGTAGCTCTGTTCTGATGAGTAATTCTCTGAAGCTTGATAAAAATATGGGCCCAGATTCAAATCTGTCAAAACTGCTCAAACAGCAGACAACCAAAAAGAATGAAGTCTGAACAAAGCCTAAAGACGAGCACTGAAACATCAAAAAACTCGTTCAAACAAGACGTTCAAGATAACTGTGAGGCTGTTTTCTTTTTTTTTTTTGTTCAAGAGATTGTTCCTCTTATGTCTCTCATTCCATATTCAATCTCTGGACACCTGTTCAATCAACAGCTACATAAGTGCTGCATTTCACCCGCGATCCCTAGAGAGCCATCATACCTCCACTAGCTCCTTCACAGGTTCCCCGCAGGAGAGGTTTGGAGAGCCTGCAGAAGAGGAGTGATTAGATTAGCACAAGATGGGTCCGTACCAGGGGGTCGCAGACAGTTCGCAACACACCATACATGAGTGGGAGTTGAACGTGTGAGTAAGTGCTATATACACACTGTTGAGTGAGTCTGTGTTGCTGATTGCAGACACCGTCTTCAGAGCAGACTTGAGGGGGATCTGGGAGTTAGTCAACGTGGGGCTGTAGGAGGACTCTTCAGTGGAGATCTGGAGGAAAACAGTCTGTTAGATCCACTTATTAGCAAGGTACATAACTAAAGCAGACTTCACATACTCCCAGCTGTCTAACTGACAGCCTGCTGGGAAGGAATTCTTTGGGATGAAACGGAAAACATGAAAAATATAGCTGACGGTGATCTGACAATCCTTTGTTCTTCCTAAGGAATACAGCTGGGAGCCGCAGACTCCAAAAACAATGTCAGTCTAACATTGAGCATAATTAAAGAACTACCCAAAACTGAAAGTTGTTTATTACAGCCTGCATGCTGTTCTGAGTTATATATATGTATGTAGATCTGCGAAAACTCTTAGTAAACGCTTAGCTGTAAACATACAATATAAATGAATCATAAAAAATGAGACCAGCATGTGACTCACGCTGTATTCTGAGTCTTCTGAAGCCAAACTAAACAGACCGATTGTCCTTAATTATGGAAAATGTCCCACTCCTACTCCTCATTCTCTGCAAATCTCATTCTCCATCCCACGCATTAGCTAACGTGAAAACCACTGCCTTGGGGAAAATTGGAATAAAACTGTTGCACATAAGTCCATTTAAACTCTGTATTTTATTTAAATATTTATTGAAGCAACCTTCTACACCAGTGGTCACCAAACTTGTTCCTGGAGGGCCGGTGTCCTGCAGATTTTAGCTCCAACCCTAATCAAACACACCTGAACAAGCTAATCAAGGTCTTACTAGGTATACTTGAAACATCCAGGCAGGTGTGTTGAGGTAAGTTGGAGCTAAATCCTGCAGGGACACCGGCCCTCCAGGACCAGGATTGGTGACCCCTGTTCTACACCATCTGATTTTGATTCTGTCAAGTAAAATGAAAGTAATTACAGTTTAAAATAAATGTTTCTAAAAAATATTATTATAATTTATCTACTATTTCCCCAGTACTGGGTTGCGGCTGGAAGAACATCCACTATGTAAAACATATGCTGGATAAATTGGCGGTTCATTCCACGGTGGTGAACCCTGATAAAATAAAGGGACTACGCCGAAGGAAAATGAATGAATGTATCAAGTGTTTTAGGCAAATATAGTGTAAAGCAGGGGTTACCAAACTCAGTCCTGGTCTGGTGTCCTGCAGATTTTAGCTCAGCGTGCGACATTCTGTTGTGTGATGCTGCTAAAAGGGGCGAAAAGAGGTCATGTTTTGATCCTTGATTGGTCTCACGCAGTCAAGTCATGCAATTTTGCAGGTCAGAGTTCACCAAGCTTGAACTTTGCACCTCAGCAACCTGTGAAACTTGACGCATGACCCTGCGTTTCTGGTCTGACGCATTTGCGTGCGTATGAATGGAAGTGTATGGGAGGAAAAGCCCAGTGTGACCGCAGCTTTACTAGGCTTTCTAGAAACATCCTTGCAGGTGTGTTGAGGCAAGTTGGAGCTAAAATCTGCAGGACACCAGCCCTCCAGGACTGAGCTTGAGAACCCCTTGTGTAGATCATATAAATAGCAATTTTCTATGTTAAAACATCTAATCCATACTTTCACATTTACAATTAGCTGTCAAAATGTTAAATTAAATGAGCATTCACTGCATTCATTTACCACATGGAAACCATTGGGTTACAGCAAGGGTCTCAAACTCAAATTGGTGAAGGGCCATATCAGTGACTGACAATTCATAGGAGGGCCGCTTTAACAGTCAAGTACACCAGAAAACTGATGTAACTGATACACTCTTCCCCAGAGTATATACAGTCAAAGCTCCTTCTTTCTGTTTTGTTTTTGTTGTACATATTAAATAGTTCTAGGTTAAACTGCTATGAAAATACTACAATTTAATAATAGGCATAATGATTATTATGATTATTCTGTCCCAATCAAGTTTAAGAGATTGCAAGAACAGCAGAAAGCAGATTGGGTAACTTTACTGACTTCACTGGCAATTGTTCTTCTCAATATCTTTCTTTTTCTTGTTAAACTACAACAAAGAGGGGGGAAAATATCATGTTCAATTTAGCCAGCAGTAAAATTTTACTAATGCAGATTTTTTAATACAAATCTTAACATGAATATGGGGAAAATGTAAATGTATTAAATGCGACAATTTGAATCGAATATTAGCAAATTGATCATATTTACACCATCATTATAATGTGTAAGCCATGGAAATGAGTTTATACAACAAAATACAGGTGGTAGAAAACAAATTATAATCAAATGCCCCTCAAAGAGGGACCCGCAAATAGAACACAGTGAATGGCAGTTCGACACCTCTGAGTTCCAGAAAACATCTTTAGCATTTCAGTACATTTAATTACAAAATTTAAATTATTATTAAAAGAGTAATGAATAATATCTATTTTTTATTTTTACTTTATTTCAAGCAACATTCTCATTTAATTTTCATTCTGTCAAGTACAATGAAAACAATCAAATTGCTACATTATTAGGAAACATATCCAAGAGCATGTTTTATTGTCAAATATAGACCAAGTCGTCAGTCATTCATTTTCTTTTCAGCTTAGTCTGTTTATTAATCAGGGGTCCTTGCTCAAGCAAATTGATTTCTTTATTCCCCAAGTTCAAAGTAGAGTGTATTGTGTGACACAGATTGTAAAATTGTAGTTTTTCACATATGAACGTTTTTTTTGTTGTCTTTTTTTACTGTAATTTGCCATAAAAATAAAATTCTAAAAAGAATCGCTAAATTATTATTTAAAAATTTCGAAAAGAAATGTGAATTTCAGACTACTTTTTATACTGTTGTGATGCTTAAGATCACTTTGAGAATATGTAATGCTTTTTAAGCATATATACAGTAGTATATACTATAAATAGTATACATTACAAATATATTTGTTAAAACCCATAACATGAAAATTATTTGTGATTAACAATTAGCTGTCAAATGTTAATATTAGTACATCCTTTATAGTTTAATCATCAATAACATTTACTCTATGTGGATGAGTAAACAAATAAATACAGAATTATTAGACAGCCTGTGAAGTTTACAATTACTAAAAACAGACTTTGCAATTTTGAGAAATAATTGCAAGATATTAACTCAGAATGGCAAGAAAAATTAGAACGGAGAGAAATAAAGTAAGAATTGTAAACTATAAACTGTTTTAACAAGACTATCAGAGTCGCAAAGTCTGAGAATAAAGTCTGAAATGTTTTAAGCAAGAATTGCAAGAAGTACAATTTAAATTCTGGGGATAAAAGTCAGAATTGTGAGATGTTAACTTAGGATTGCAAAATAATAGTAAGTCATAGTTATTTTTTTTAAGGTGGCTCGGTGGTTAGCACAATCGCCACACAGCAAGAAGGTTGCTGGTTTGAGTCCCGGCCGGGCCAGTTGTCGTTTCTATGTGGAGTTTGCATGTTCTCCCTGTGTTAGCGTGGGATTCCTCCGGGAGCTCCGGTTTCCCCCACAGTCTAAAGACATGCGCTATAGGTGAATTGAATAAACTAAATTGGCCATAGTGTATGAGTGTGTGTGAGAATGAGTGTGTGTGGTTGTTCCCTAGTACTGGGTTGTAGCTGGAAGATTCTCTGCTGCGTAAAACAAGCTGGAATAGTTGGTGGTTCATTCCACTGTTGCAACCTCTGAAATAGAGACTAAGCTTAAGGAAAATGAGAACATTATCTTAAATGTTTTTACCCTGTTGTAAAAAAAAGGGTTTCATAGATCATATAATTATAATGCATGTCATCTAACATCAGTTACTGCTTCAGATCCCTTTTAACTCTGCCTTTTAACTAATGCTCTAAGTAGGGCTCCTACCAGGAAACGTACGCCGCGGCCAGCCTTGGGAGGTGAATCCGGTGTGAAGGTGGGCACATGGGTGCCGTTGTCCTGTGCTCGCTCTCTCAGATACTCCAGCCTGCGGGGCCGGCCGAGCTGCTGAGAGAGCAGCGACTGAAGCTGAGAGCGCTCGATCGAACCCAGCAGGATCATGGACTCTGGAGCCAGGGGACACAGGCAGGGGAGACAGCAAAGAGACCAGAAAGAGAGGGAAAGAGAGAGAGACAGAAATGAGAGAGACACAGCGGGACAGCTGGAGGAACAGGGGACAGCAAAGGGAAATGGTGGGAGGGCAGGAAAGGAGATGGAGAAGGTAAAGAATGTGTCTGTCACAGGGCATGAGGTGGAACTGTGGGATAACATTGCCAACTGTGAGCTTTCATCTGGGAACATCAAGCAAATGAATGGAAAGGAAACTACTAAAAGCAGTAACAGCCCAAAGTGTTTTCAGCCACATCATTAAACTAATTTGTATGACTCTTTTTAGCTTCTCTGTAGCTCATTTTTAGTTTTTAAAGGTCCCATGAAATTAAAATAAAGTTTTATAGATGTTAGTATCAGTATTATACATTTTTAGGATATCTATAAGCTAGTGTTCTCTAAAACAGCGACAGATATAAATCTGGTATGAACATGTAACGCTTGTAGTTTTTACTTCTGCTGAAATGGATCAACAGTTTTATTCACATCACCTCACACTATAGTTTCTCATCACATCATAACCAATCAGATGCTCTCTAGTATCTGACATGCCCCGCCCTCTTTAAGACACTTCTCCTTTGCTTTTCAATTCATGCACTTGAGATCAATCACTCTCAGTGGCAGAGAGGTTATAAACAAAACACTATTGGCTGTTTTAAAAAAAGAGAGGAGCTACACTATGTCCCACCCTCTCATCGTGTTTGGGTTGAAATTATGTCAAACACTGAATAAAAATTCATACTTCAAAGCACTTCAGGGGACCTTTAAATAATAATGCACCCAGAAATTAAAATATGCTCACCATTTATACTTGAGTATTTTTTCTTCTGTTGAGCACAAATTAAGATATTTGAAGGAATGTTGGAAACTTACAGTCATTTACATCCATATAAATGAAAAATACAGTGGATGTCAGTTTCCAGCATCCTTTAAAATATCTTTTTTTGATATTTAAACAGACAAAATGAACTCAAACAAGTTTGAATCAAGTGGGAGAAATGACTGAATTTTCATTTTGGGGTGAGCTAATTTGTAAGCTACTTTCAGAAGCTCTACCACCACAGGCATATATATAACTGAACCTTTTTAGTGTTAGTCCAATATATTACACACAAAGTCTATCAGCTGATTCTGCACAATAAAAACCTAAATGTTACCCTTGAAATAAGCACACATTTTTTTGGCATCGTAAAAAAAAGAGATGACTGCAGTTTACTCAATGCCCAATGGATTTTTAAAATGGTTTAAAAATCTCTACATAGAGCCCCATATTTTTGATATCCATCTTCAGGCCCACACACATTTAGGAACACATCCAGGTAGAGGCTAACCATATAAGGTTAAAGATGGATCAGGCTTTTCCTTCTTGTTTAATGGCGACTAACTCATTAGAAGCATTAACACCACCTACTGTGTCGGATGTGAATTTAAATGTTAGCTATCACAAGATTGTTGACATGATTTATATGTACAATGTTTATGAAAGTGCTTTTCAACCAGAAGCAGCGACCGTTGTTGTTGTTTTTTTGTATTGTGATGCAGTTCCTAGCGAAGCGGAATATTAAAGGTGCAGTAGGTGATTGTCTTCAGAAACTATTTTTATTGCGCTGGTTGAAAGTCTCTTCACATTCCGATAGCACTGATTAAAGTAAATGATCTAAATGCATTTATATGTATTTTAACATTCTGGATAAAACACAATCTAAAAAATATTTATCCAATTAAATATTGTCGGATCGACTAATAACTCAATTATGATAGGTATCTCAAACTGTCAACAAATTTAAATTTGTCTTTAAGCAGACAGACGTCCTCCGCACACACATGTAAAGCACAGATCTACATTTAATAGAGAGATATCAGGCAACCTCTGCATCAACCTGAACTTCTTTCTGAAAGACCAAAACCCTAAACCCTGAAATCAATTACTTTTGTATGCTCAGGGGAAATGACGTAATGCAGTTCAAAACAAGGATCTGAGGGATGACACCACGGCTGAAGGATTACACTTCAACAGGTATGTTTTAAAACTATTTTAGCCATGCAAAGCTTATGTAGATTGTTCTTGTCTATGAATGGGTTTATATGCACTGTAATATTGTTCAGCCACTGAAACATTCGCCAAAACATTGGCTATTTTCAATTTCATGGAGTACCTATTACAGCATCGATAATATAGTTGGTTAAATAGACCTAAGCATTTGTTAGTTGTTCAAATGTAAAAGGAGATGAAAACAAACGACGTACGAGGATCAGCTAACACAAATGAAAATGAAAAGTCACTTGTTGTCTTTGTAGTGTAAACTTAAGTGTATTGTAAAAAGATGACAGGATATTTCTGTTTTTAGCCCTGCTTTTTTCTGATTTAATTGTTATTTAGTTAAAAAACAAAACATAAGTAAATGTGCCCTTCCGCCAAACCAGCTTTAGTGAGGTAAAGTTTGATTTATTTTCACACATTTGTTCATTTTTAAACGTCGACAGCCTGTGACAGTTTTTTGGTAGATATAATTCCTGCATCCGCTGGCCTGTCAACAACTACACTTGATAAAGTGAATCAGAAACAGCTTTGTTGCCAGTGCGTGTCTCCACAGAGTTTTCTAACTGGTGAATGATATGATCTTCTAGTGTTATGTCTAATAGGTACGCGTTCATGACTTAAGGAGACATGAATTTGGATGGCATGGGAGGGATGTAAAATTTCTAAGCTAAATGACACAACAGTTGGCGTGGCTTGTTTTTCTACTGTGAGCTGAATGGATGTAGTAAAGTAGACATTTCATTCTGAAATTGGGGGAAAAGGGTTTGGGGAGTGTTATTAGAATCTAACAGACTCCTCCTCCTCCTCCTCACTATTACTGTCTGTTGTTAAAACTAACAGTGTAGCAGCTGGTTAAATATGCTAGCTACACCCAATTGAAAAAAAAAATAATAAGTGCTTTTACAGCTTTCAATTAAAGATTAGAAGGACAACCCTTTTTTCTTAATGACATGCACAGATGAATTGTTCACTACAAAACAAGCAATGTGAGCTAACACAATTATATGGTTAGTTTTGCTTTCTTGGGGACTTTAACACTACACGAAATACTACAAATAAATAAATACACTTTTTATCAATACATTGAACCATAACATCTTGACTGTAGGTTCTGATGAGAAATTTAGTTCATGTCATGTCATCCTGTTATTTATTAATGTGTAATGTGTACCCCATCCCTAAGCCCACTCCTTACAGTAATGAAAATAACAGTATTTATTAGCATTACAACAATGATGCTATATGTACACTATGCGCACATTCTTAGCAGTAACTTCTAGCTGTAACCATTACTATTATCAGAAGTACCTCCCACTGCAATGCCTCAAATAACTTATTCATAAACTAATCTAGAATGACAAAGAAATCGTTCTTGCAGGACTCTCAGTGTTCATCAAGACTCTTTGGATTCATCTTCAATGCCTCCTCCATCTTACCCCAGATATGCTCAATAAAGATCATGTCTGGTGACTGGGCTGGCCAATCCTGGAGTACCTTGACCTTCTTTGCTTTCAGGAACTTTGATGTGGAGGCTGTAGTATGAGAAGGAGCGCTATCCTGCTATCCTTGCCCTCTCCTGTGATTTGTAATGTAATTGGCAGCACAAATGCATTAACCAGTACTATCAGCAGGTGTACTTCCCAATTGGGGGCCTGGATTGTGTGGTCGGGATTGTGTGTCCTAAAATGTGTGTAGATCTGCAGCTGGATAATATTGTTTTTCAGGATTCTTATTATAAAAGAAATTAAAAGCTACTTTGCTGTCTAGATATTGGCATCGGCAATTGGAATCCTATTTGCTGACTGAAATCTTGCCAAAAGTGGCAAAGTGGCTCAGCAATCAAAGATTGATATTGCAGCAGAGTTATTGCAGCAGAATCACTTCATATCAAGAAAAAATAGGGGAAAACACACTCAAGGAAGAAGACAGTCTAAAAAGTCTGATGTGAGATGGCTGTTTTAAAGATATCTGCCATTTTGCCCCCTCTGCAACAGTACAGTACAGTAATTTTCTTATTATCTCACCTTTGGACTCGACGAGGGCCAGGGTTTTAAGCTGGCCCGTCACAAGTGCCTCCTGGAGGTCCCGGTAAGAGGAGGAGAGAGTGATATAGCGCACATCTCTCACCATTATATCCTCCACGCGGATATTATATTTCCTACAGGTTAAAAATGAAAGGACAAAGCGGGGTGAGCATTAGAAATGCCAGGGGAATGACATGAGGGTGATGACAATTTCAATAACGTAACAGGACTCACTCCTGTCCCCAGCCCAGCTCTGGCAGATAGGGAAGTTTCTGGATCCGGATGATGGAGTCGTAGAGGGACGGCTGTAGACTCTGAGCCACGGCATTGGCCAGGATCACAGCGATCATCACGGGCAGGATGTGCGAGATTTGACCGGTCAGCTCGAACACGATGACGGCGGTGGACACGGTGTGAGTGACTGCGCCAGAAAGAGCCGCCGCCCCTGTGGAAATCACCATTTCGTCCCGCATCAAATTACAGTAGCAGTCACCCGCCGCAAGCCATCTGATTTCCTATTGTGCTCCTGACAAGCTTTCTGCTCCACTGCACAACGCAACGCTACCACCGAAGCCATTTCCACAGGCGAGATCTAATTTGGCTGTTGGTCTGTGCGGGTTAATGAAAAATGTATGACTCTTGCATACAACGCCCTGCAGGTTCAATTACGTGTGTGTATAAGATCTCGCCGAGACGGGCTCAAACTGATGGCTTTTGAAAGGAAACAAATGGACATCTGTGTGAAGGCATGCACAATGGACGCTCTCACCTACAACTGCGTAACCGCCGGGAACTATAGGATACACAGTGCTGTCGGCGTGTATCCCGTCGGGGAAGAAGGCTGCCATACTTTCGCCCACCAGTCGACCGAATGCGGCCCCTGTACGACACACAGAATTCGTATTGTCGATATTTTGTCGACTAGAAAAACAAGACGCATATTTATAACACATATTTTGATGTATACTCACACACATTGACTCCAGAATAAAGCTGCAGTGATTTTTCACGAGTTTATACACAGGCTTTAGTGAGTCAGACAGTGATGAGGGATGGAAATGGAGAACACGATCGCAGGAAAAGGAAACAACCATTAAGAACAAACTGAAACTGGATGGCTGGTATGAACACAAGTGCAAAGTAATGGCGCTAGCTCATACAATAGTGACTTGAAATGAAAACAAAACAAAATAATAATAACAGAAAACACATTTCCCACAATGTGGTCGACTTTTAAAAGCAACACATGCATACGCTATAAATCACATACCAATGAGGAACACCGGCATGAAGGCCCCGCAAGGCACAGGCATTGTTGTAGCCACGGCTGACATCCAGAACTATGGGAAAACATTCAAAAGACTGAAGGTCGCACACTTGAACGAAGACATCCTTTAATAATTAATCTGTTTCACATGTGCACTCATCATGCTGTGCAGAAAATCAGAACTGCTGCAGACTGAAATCTCTGCTGATTTTCAATACAACAGCATGAAAGTTTTAACACAGCAGTTCGATAAACAATACGTATTAAGCAGCTGACATTTCGGACACAAAATGACTAGAATAATTAATAATTGAAACAATTAAAAAAGAGATCAAAGTAATTATAAAACTGAATCTGACAGCTATGTAATACAATGTTACAATTGCTTCTCTGAAATGCTTGATTGGGCACTTGAAACATTTCTAGATAATACCTCAATAAAAACACCCATAGTACCTAACAAAAGTCTTGCCGTCTAAGTTTTAGAATCAACAAATAATAACTTGATTTCTAGTTGATTATTTGGTATCAGAATTGGCTTATTTGAAAGGCAAGGGCCTTTAGAATATGCTTACTTTACCAAAATAAAATATGATCATGCTTTGATTTTTTTTTATTCAATTAGGACAGTACGATTTGACTGTGCTTAGACAAAAGTCTTGTCCCTTAAGAGAAACAATGTCCAGTATAGAGTATAAAGTCATGGTGCAGTGGAGAAAGAATGAATATTGTGTATGACTCCCATGAGCTTGGACAACTGCATCCATACATCTCTGCAATGCCTCAAATAACTTATTCATAAACTAATCTGGAATGACAAAGAAAGCATTTTTGCGGGACTTCCAGAGTTCATCAACATTCTTTGGACTCATCTTCAATGCCTCCTCCTTCATCTTACCCAAGGAATGCTCAACAATGTTCATGTCTGGTGACTGGGCTGGCCAATCCTGGAGCACCAAGACCTTCTTTGCTTTCAGGAACTTTGATGTGGAGGCTGAAGTATGAGAAGGAGCATTATCCTGCTGAAGAATTTGCCCTCTCCTGGGGTTTGTAATGTAATGGGCAGCACAAATGTCTTAATACCTCAGGCTTTTAATCCATGTCATCCACTCTGCAGATCTCTTGAACACCCCCATACTGAATGTAACCCTAAACCATGATTTTTCCTTCACCAAACTTGACTGATTTCTATTATAATCTTGGGTCCATGCGGGTTGCAACTGGTCTTCTCCAGTGTTTGTGATGATTGGGATGCAGTTCAACAGATGAATTATCCAAAATCTTCCTTCTGCCACTTTCCAAATGATCAACTAGAAGTCAAGTTTTTATTTGTTGCTCTCACAACTAGAATCGATGACAAGACTTTTGTCAGGCAGTGTAATAAAGATTCAGTTTAAACTATTTGCCTATGGCTATCCTAAAACAACTTTTGCTTAACCGATTGTTCTTTGCTTTCTATTGGATTATGTGATAATAAACAGGTAATATTTTAAAATAGTTTTTTCCTAAAGGTATAGTTCACCCAAACATGAAAACTGTCATTATTTGCTCGCCCTTCACTTGTTCCAAACCTATTTGAGATCTTTCTTCCTCCTTCTGTTCACAAAAGATGATATTTTGAAGAAAGTTGGAAAACCTGTAACCATTGACTTCCATAGTATTTATAGTATTCCATTTACATTATATTTTCTCAACTACGGATGTAAAAGATTACAGATTTTTAGCTTTCTTCAAAATGTCTTTCGTTTTGAACAAAAGAAAAGAATTCATAAAGGTTTATAAGCACTAGAGCTTGATTAAATAGTGCATTATCAATTTTGGGTGAACTAAATCAAAACTTTAAATCAACATTTTATGTCCCTTGCTATACTGATGTGTTCAAATGATGGCATATAATGCAAATGTTAAACAGACTATGAAAAACCAAAAAAGAAAAAAAAAACTTTTTGAAATCATTTTTTACTCTATTATTATACCATTATATATGTCTTGCTATTTCACTAGAAGGCATGAGTTAGTTAGTTAGTTAGTAAGTTAGTTATTTAGTTAGTTAAATACATCATAAATACAAAAACAATAATTAATAATAAAATAAACAGTGTAAATTATAAATAGTTTCTATAGAAAGCCAATCCTTCATTTAGATTATTTAGTACTTGGTTTGTGGATTGTAATTCATAGAAAGATAACTCTACAAGTTATGCTTACTTACTTGTCATCTGTAACTCAAGTACAGTATATCTTTGTTGCCTGTTTTGCATGTAAACTTTCCAAATCTAACATAATATAATATTATAATAATAATATTATTTTACAGAGCATGGCGAGACTCACCTTCATGACAATGAAGAGGAGGAGTGTGATAAACACACTGACTTGTGGGTGCTTCCAGGCCTGAGGTACGTGACTTGAGTACTCAAACTCCTCAGCAACACCTTGCTTGTACCAGGTCAGGTTGTCAAACAGTGCCACCAGTGACTCATGTTGAGTCAGCTAAATGAGGAGGCAGAGCAGTTTGTTATTTAATGCTTAATTACTGATTTAGAACAAATAAATCTATCAGCAGGCAGCAGACTCGAAAGACTCATATTAAAAAGGAGCAAAATATTGAGAAAGATAACCAATATTTGTGTGTTTTTTTAAGAGTATTGGGATTTTTCACAGCTAGCAAATGTAAGTAATTTAAGAGTAGTTCAACATGGATATGTGCAAACCAAGTTATCTCAGATATCAATGTTATGAATGTGACCGCTCAGAAACAATTATTTTTTCTTTATTCAACAAATAATACACCATTAACCTCTCCTACAAAGAAAAGACTGGATGGTCAGTGTGTAATACAATTCCAAAGGTATTTGCAACACAAAGGAATTTGCTTGGAATGGACACAGAGAAATGGTCAAGCTACTATACAACTTGCTTGAGACTTAAGCTTTTAATGTAAACCTTTATTCCCTATTTGTGTGAAATCAGTTGTTTTACAACAAGCTCATGTATTAATATCATGGTTTTAATCCTCCTGCAATCAATGTTTTAACACTACCACAGCTAAACAAGATTGTGGATAGTTCATGTTCGATGTCCCTGGGAAGATAATTTGGTGTACTGAACGATCATTTACTTTTTATGTTTATACATGTGCAACATATTAACATTTTAAGAAACTTTAAACATTTCTGCATCAGCTTACACCCAGAATGCATATGCAAATTACCAAACTTTTTAACAAAGGACTATAGGGCGTGCCCCGGGGGAGTTAGCTTTCCCATTGTTCAGTTCAGCTCTCGAGGGTGTTACAAGCACACCCTTATAAAAGCTGGTGACACACTGGAGAACACCTGAAGAAGAAGAACCGACACACACCCTAGGAGAGGGAGTTGTTCTATTTCAGCTTCTCTTCAGGTCTAGGGAGCAGGCATGGACCCTGACAAAAATGGGTTAAATGCACAGCTCAGACATTCCCATTCCCACACCGATACCCTTCTTTCTTTCTTTTAAAGTTCCATTTTGTATAAAGAAAGGTGCCTGTGCATATTTATGAATCAAATGCTTTAAACTTTGATTATGTGACCCGGCTTAAACCTAAATGAGTTTTTATTTTTAATAGCAATAGCTGTAGTTGAAGTCTGTTTAAATGATCGCAGGACAATTCGTTTGTTTGAATATAAGGAGTAGATTCTTTTAAAGACCCCTTCAAATTAATCTTCACGTTGAGCTAATTTGCTACACCAAAGACTATAGAATGCACAAGATGTGTCACTCGTATAGTTTTGAATAGTGAAAAGTGTAACAATAAAGATGGTTGCTCCAGTGAAGGAAGCCCCTCCTTCAAGTAAAGGAATTGATTGATATTGACTGACAATTCTCCGGGGGAGGGACTTTGTTTACATGTGTGTTTTTATGACAGTTTCTGCAGCTTCATTGTTATAAACCTGTCTGGGATCGACAAATGCGCTTAGATCTCGAGACATGAGAAATGTATTTACATGAAGCTTGAAATCTCTACGTTTAAACATACTTGTAAATTAATTTCAAGTTATCAAGACGATTACAAGTTTTGTAATCTGGATGAAATTATCATGAGTCTGTCAATTGCAAATCACATGACAACAACCATTTAAAGGCCCACAAACTTGTAAACAATTTCGCTGTCATTTTGAGAGAATATTTGCCATCAGAAATAAGTTGTTGGAATAATTCTGCTGCATTATTCAGAGGATGATACTGTGTTACACGTACAGTCATTCAAAGAGATGGGAGCTGCACTTGCATGCCTAAAAGGCATTTTAAGATGGCTGCTGGGTGGAATGACTTTACTTTGTGCATAAAAAGACCACCTCAGGAGTGTTCTCTTGTGAGTCTGTTTGAGGTTCTATATATTTATGATTTGTGAATGCAGAGAAGGGGGGGAACTTACTGAAATATGGAAAGAGGATTACATTAAACATGAACTATGCTCAACACATTCAAAATACAGAGTAAAAGAGATATAGAAGAACTGTGCAACAAAACTCTGTAATGCTGAGTAAATCAGAGGATATGCTGTATCTATTTACGTATATTGGTTGCGTTTATTTACTTATAAGGGACAGTTTTCTCAAAAGTAAAATGTAATGTACCTTTTGATTTTACGCACTTTCAAGCCATGGGTGTATATGGCTTTCTTTTTCAAACATTATATAACTATTCTTATAATAAAGGCTGTTCATTTTTGATACATAAATTATTAAACATTGATAGTTAATAGAAGCTTCTTTTAATCTGTTATTATTATTGTGATATACACACATAGCAGATATTAAGATGATCAAGCTGAGAAATACTGTAATGAAATCGGTTCAAAATTCATTAATGCACAAAAAGCTGGGGTCTGAGTTTTTATGAAGTTAAGTGGTGGAGGAAAATGGTTTGAGATCACTTCATTGCTGAAGAGAACCAACAAAAAACTGGGTTTTCTTTTGAGTCCATTAAGTTGTGAACACCTAAAAGGACTGAGACCTCTTTCGATAGGTTTCCTTTCTAGTTTGCTTTAACTTAACTTGTTTTTGATCTTTTAAAATGAGCTATATGAGAAAATTTTTTACTGTACAGTTAGGTTAGGGTTAGAAAAACAAGGTAACATGTATGTGCAAAGTTGCTTATAGTCAACAGAAATGCCTGTTGAGGTAGCAAAATTAAGAATAAGCATATATTAAGCATGCAAGTCAAGTCAAAAATGTGGAGAAGAGATAAGTCTTGAACATCAAACCTGGCCTGCCATGAACTGTCCAAACCCTGGAGGAAAGGTAAGTGTTGATATAAGAAGAGTCACCACTGCTGGATACACTAGTCTTCTACAGGAACCCAAAATTGAGAAGAAAAAAAATGAATTATTTGTATGAAATAAATACATATAAACAGTACTATACACTCACCGGTCACTTTATTAGGTACACCTCTTCAACTGTTTGCTAATAAAAAAAAATGTTATCAGCTAATCAAATGGCACTCAGTGCTTTTAGACATGTAGATATGGTCAAGATGATCTGCTGAAGATAAATAATTTAAGTCACACTGAATGTGGCAGGGCTGCTGCTTCTAGATGGGCTGTTATGAGTATTTTTTACACATAAATCATCAGTACAGTTTACAGACAATGGTCTGAAAATAATAAAATATCCAGTGAGTGCCATTTCTGTGGGTGAAAATAGCTTGTTGAGACTCCAAAATTACACCAAAATTAGTAATGGTAAATTGTAAAAAGGTTTCTGGACTAATGAGTCTCAAAATTGGCTTAAGTTGGATTATAGAAGCAGAATTTGGCTGAAATAACATGAAAAGGATGGATATTGTATCATCGGTTCAGGCTGTGGCTGGTGTAATGGTGTGAAGGAGATTTTCTTGGCACACTTTGAGCTGCTTAGTACTAATTGAGCATTTTTAAATGCCACAGCAAACCTGATTATCGTTGCTGACCATGTCCATTCTTTTTGACTACATAATTATATTAAGTAGTCATAATATCATATAAATCATATTGTGATGGCTCTCCAGCAGAATAGTGCATCATGCCACAAAGCTCCAATTCTCTCAAACTGATTTCCTGAACATGGCAATGAGTTTAATCCTCCACAGTCATCATATTTTGTATTGAAAATGTGTATTGCTGATCGGCTAACAAATCTGGGTTGGTATTGCAAAATTGTGGACCAAAATCTCTGAGGGATATTTCCAGTGACTTCATGCCAGCAGGCATAGAATGTAAAATGACGTTAATCTTTAGTTCTATTTTGGTTGCGACATCAGGTGACCAAAATTTTACATTAATTTGCTGTGTATTACTGTTTCAGGCTGTGACATTAACTAACTAAAGTCCAATATCATTTTAACATCATGATGTGACATCCATACAACTTGAAAGTCTAACATCAGTCAACGTTTATCACTGCTTGGTTTTATGCTGTGTAATTACCCAACTAAAATTCCATTCAATGTCAAAAGCTTCATTAATCGTTGATCTTTGGTTGATTTTATGTTGTGTCATGAACTAACTAAAATTCATCTTGACGTTGATGTCTGACCTCAAACTGACATTAAGTTCTGACATCAACCCGATTTTCATATACAGCCAAAATTCAAAGTTAATCTGACGTTGGAGGCCAACCTCAATTTTAAGACTATTTGATGTCCAGTGCCATATAGGAATGAATCTAGGCAAAAAGAAGAGTCCATCCTGCAATTTTATGTTGGTAACACTTTGGGCTCTATTTTTACGATCCAGACACAAAGTCCAAAGCGCAGGGTGCAAAAGCAAAAGCAAAACAATAGAGTCTCATTTCCCATTTCCTTTACGAGTCAGTTGCGTCATGCCATGCATAGCACATTTGGTATTTACATGGCGGACTTTGTAAGTGGAAAAACTGAGTGCTTCATTAGTGAGAAAACAGTTAAACAAAGCATCTGCAGCACGAGAATGAGAGAATAAGCCTTCTCATTCTTTTCTTTCACTTCACTCTCGTGGGTAAGGAAACGGTTTGTACGTACAGACATCCATTAGCCTACATAATTAATTGAATTTGTTAAGTGCAAAGATTTGTTTTTAAAACTATTTCTTAATTAAATCTCATCTAAGCTTGTTTTAAATAAAACAAATGTAAATATGCATATAATAAATAACACTACTAATGATAATAACAATATACAAAAGCAAATTGTCATGAATAAACTGAAGAAGCCTCAGAGATGAAGAAGGAATGAAAGTAGGGTTTTTATATTAATGTAAACTAGAAAAAAATCATTTTTGTAATATTTTAATGCTTCAATTCTTTTTTATTTGTAAAGATATTTGCATATTGCTGTTCATCCTGGGTGTATTAAGCAATGTTTAAGGGAGGCGCATAACTAACGCGCTCTGCGCTGGACTTTAGACCTCTTAGCTGGTTTATTGAACAGTGTATTTTAGTTCCTCAAAATAGCAACACACCAGCAATGTGCCTTAACACATCTCCTTTTTTAGACCAGAACGCCTATAAATGCACATATGAGTGCAAATCCATTTGCTGTTTAAACAGTGTGGCGGAAAACTTCAAAATGATCCTTATGTCCAGCTGAAACTAGCAAACAACAATCGAGTGTATGATAGGGCCCTTTATTTTGATGGCCCATTTGAGATTAGTAGACTGTCTGCTTAATATCTGTTAATACAGACATTCAACAGATATTTAACGGACTATAAGAAACTTTGCAAGTACATGTCAACTTACACTAACCCTAAACCTAACCCCAACCTTAACCCCAACCTAACAGTCTATAAATATAATGAGAATTAGTTGCAATCTAAACAAACCATCAAAATAAAATGACCTTAATGTCTGCATGAAGTTGCAGAGACATTTATTACAGTATGTTGATGTACTTCCAATTAAAACTAAATATTGAGTAGGGGGCGAGGATTTCTTTTGCGCCTCATTCCCTCGTAGAAAGCTAACAGCAAGAGGGGCATGGTTAAAAATATTTTGCCCATCAAACTGATGGCATCAGAGAAGGACAGCCACTCCAAATGCAGAAGCAAATGGTCAGATTTGATTAAAGATGACCAAAACAAACATTTAATCTCAGTTCATCTAATGAATAACAATGTATAATAACAGCAAAATAAAACTGTACATTTTGATTTCACACTGACTTTAAAGGTGCACCTAATAAAGTATCCAACAAATTCCTACAGTAACTAAAAGGACAATTAGAAACATTCTAGGAGATGCAGTAAAAAAAAAAAAAAAAAACTTACTTTTTTAGCAAAAATTTGTTGATAGTTTTCTGCTTTCTCATAGACTCCACTATAATCCTGTTCAGATAGACATACAATGCTCCTCCAAAACCACTGGCAATCCTGAAAAAGATATCAGAGGGATCATTTACTCACCCTTTACTTGCTCCAAACTGGTTTTGAGTGTTTTCTTCTGATGAACACAGTGGGCTCTATTTTAACAATCTAAGCACAATGTCTAAAGCACATGGTGCAAAAGCATCAAGGGCATGTCCGAATACACATTTGGTATTTTAAGGATAAAAAAATATGCTTGCTTATTCTCTTAATAAGTTATGGGTGTGTTATGAGAATAATGTGCATTAAACCAATCAGAGTCTCATCTTTCATTCCCTTTAAGAGTCAGTTGCGTTGCGCCATGGCGCATTTGCTATTTACATGGAGGACTTTGTAAGTAGAAAAACTGAATGCTTTACTGGCGAGAAAACAGACCATCTGACAAGTAAAAAAACAAGCCTTTACTTTACTCCTTTACTTTCATGGATAAGGAAACTGAAGACATCCATTAGCCTACATATTCAATTTTGTTTGTTAAGCTTAAAAGATTTCTTTAATTCCCAGCAAACGAATAAATGAATAATAATAACGATATGTGGTCAAAAGATATTTGTGTATTGCTGTACATCCTGTGTATATTAAGCAAGGTGTAAGCGTTTTAAACCTGCATAGATGTATAACTATAGCGCTCTGCACTGGACTTTAGACCAGCTTTCAGTTGGTCAGTGGCACAGTCTATTTCAATTCCTTAAAATAGCGATGTGCCAACAGTGCGCCTTAACACACCACCTTTATAGACCAGCACACACAAAGTGGCGCAAATTGATTTGCTATTTAAACAACGTGCTGCAAAACATGAAAATTAGTGTTGCGCTGTTCTGAAAATAGCAAAAAATCAAGCAAAACACGTCGTCTGCCTTATTTTTCATGATCACCAGCGATCTAACTATAGATCGCTGGAAACATTCACATTCAGAATTACAAATCTGCCATTTTATGGACTACAGATTCAGTCAGGCAACACACACACACACACCTGTCCCAAGTCACCACTGATTAGACTCTCACAGCTGTAGCTGCTCTGATTAATGGACCTAATATACAGCAAACTAACACACTGTTGGGGCTGAGTCTTGTATCCTGTAAAGTAAACAATACGATGCGTTTTCCCTGGTCTTCCTTTTCTTGTTAGACCTTGCATTGTTTTGTTTGATTTTTCCTGTATGCTGCCTGCCTTTTGCCTACATTTTCAACTCTGGATTGCCCACTGCTTACTTGACCATCCTGTTCAATTAAGGCCTGCATAAGGATCCTCACTCTGTTGTCAGCATCCATCACTGTTACAGAAGACTCCGAAACAAGAGTGTGTTAGTGCGCTGTATATATAGTCCATTAATCGGTCTGTGAGCAGCTTCAGCTGTGAGAGTCTAATCAGTGGAAACTTGGGGCAGGTGTGTGTGTGTTGCATGGCTAGATCTGTAGTCCATAAAATGAGGGATTTGTAGTTTGTCTGAATGTGCGGGTTTTCCAGCAATCTATGGTGGTTAGATCTCTGGTCATCGTGACTTTATTATGCCAGGTATATTACACTCAGGACCAAAAGAATAAATTTTGAAGAAAGCTGAAAACCTGTAATCATTGATCTGCATAGTATTTGTTTTTCCTACCTCAATGATTACAGGTTTTTGGCTTTCTTCAAATATCTCATTTTGTGTTCAGCACATTAAAGATAACCATAAAGGTTTGGAAACACTTGAGGGTGTGCAAATAAATAGTGAATAAATTGTTATTTTTAGGTCAAATATAACAGACATTCCACAAAACATTGCAAAAGGCTAAACTATAACCATTACACATTCTATTTTACGGCTTAGAGCTAAGCATAACAAGTTGGATACAGAGACTTACATTTTCCCAGCCAGCCAGACTACAACTTTCAAGTATTTGAAAGCGATAGCATAAGCTTTCCAAACAAACAGTGCTAATGAGATTTGACATTTTTAGCACAAAATGTTCTTAGACAAGGCAATTGGATTGTGTGAATTCTGTGTCGGAATTATGCAAATCAGACTTGTTTTGGGAATGCAAAAAGGCAAAGGTAAGACACAAACCCGAGCACAGCGAAAGCAGGAAGCTCTTGTAGGTCAAAAGGAAAATCCAGTCGAAAGCGTGTTTTAAAGAGGGCCGTGATGGTCTCTGCAAGATGGTGAGGAAAGAGTGACAGTCTGAGCTTTATGACGAATGAATCATTTGGCTATCATAATGGATTCCTTCCTCACCCTCATCCTTATTCCACACCGCCAGCACCCTGAAGATAAAGGCACTGAAGGTTGCAGCGAAGAATCCTCTCCAGTAGTTCCTCACGGCGAAGAACGTTGATGTGACCTCAATACTAAACAGCACTCCTGCCACAACACAGAAGATCAGACGACAAACAGCTCTGGAAAGTGTACAGGGGAACACTACTGTCTTAAATGTGATATGGCGTTATCTCCAGTGGCCAGCTATGATCACAATGTTTGGTCTTACCTCCAATGGGGGCCGCAAAGCAACAGCCCACCCCCACTGCACAGGCAGCTGACAGCATCTCTGTGTTTCTCAGCTCGTTCTGTCAGATTAACAAGAAAAACCCAATACATGCAAATCCGCTTTCAAACGACTGTCGCTGTGGTATTTTACAGGCAGCCAAGAGTGGAACAGGGTAATTACACTGACGAAGACATGAAACCGACATGCTGAACAAGGTATTGCTATGAGCACAATTAAAAAAATGGACAAGCACTGCTCTTTCATTCGTCATACGCTAACTTTGTCAACATTTGTTTGCTACGACCAGGGAGGATGAAGTCCAGGAGACGCTAATTTAAATGAAAAAAAAAATGGTAAACTTGGGAAAAAAATAATCACAAATGGAGATTAAAAAAATAAAACTAGCTTCATTTGTATTTACAGTGCATCTGGAAAATATTAATAGCGCTTTACCTTTTCCTCATTTTTTATGTTAAAGCTTTATTCCAAAATGGATTAGATTCATTTATTTCCTCAAATTGTACAAACAATATCCAATAATGACAATTTGAAAAAATAGAGTTTTTTAAATTGTTGCAAATTTGATAAAAATAAAAAAGCTGAAAAATCACATGTACATAAGTATTCACAGCTATTGCCATAAAGTTCTAATTTGAGCTCAGCTACATCCTTTTCACTGATCCTTCTTCAGATGTTTCAGCAGCTTAATTGGAGTTCACCTGTGGTCAATTTAGTCGATTAGACATGATTTGAAAAGGCATTCACTTGTAAATTTAAGGTCCCAGGGTTGACAGTGCATGTCATAGGACAAACCAAGCATGAAAACAAAGAAATTGTTTGTAGACCTCCTGTTCCTTTTTGTCCTTTCCTGTTTGTCCAGGAAATACTGCTTCACAGTGCTTTTGACCTCAGACCGGGGCGACAGTTCATCTTCCAGCAGGACAATGGCCCAAAGCACATTGTTAAAATATCAATGCAATGGCCTCACAACATGCCCAGACCTAAATCCTATTAAACATCTCTGAAGAAATCTGAAAATGGCTGTACAACATTGCTTACCATCGGACCTGGTAGAGCTTGAGAGGTACTGCAAAGAGGAAAAAATTCCCAAAGACAGGTGTGGCAAGTTTGTGGCATCATCCTCAAAAAGACTTAAGGCTTTAATTGCTGCCAAAGGTGCATCAACAGAGCATTGAGCAAAGGCTTTGAATACTTATGTACATGTGATTTTTCAGTTTTTTTTTATTTTTTTATAAATTTGCCACAATTTAAAAAAATCTTTGTCATATTGTCATTATGAGGTATTGTGTGTAGAATTCTAAGGAAATAAATGAGTTTAATCCATTTTGGAATAAGGCTGTAAAATAAAAAAAAGATGTGGAAAAAGTGAAGTGCTATGACTACTTTCCGAATTTACTGTACTGTAAAGCAGGGGTCACCAATTTCGGTCCTGGAGGGCCGGTGTCCCTGCAGGGTTTAGCTCCAACTTGCCTCAAAACACCTGCCTGGATGTTTCAAGCATACTTGGTAAGACCTTGATAAGCTTGTTCAGGTGTGTTTGATGAGGGTTGGAGCTAACATCTGCAGGACACCGGCCTTCCAGGAACAAGTTTGGTGACCACTGCTGTAAAGCTTTCAATCAGTCTGATCACATGGACACAGCTAAACATGATAACAGCTGCATCTTACCTTGTTTCCCTCAAAGGGCTCTTCCTTCAGCAGTAAATCAAAATAACACATATACATGTGAGTATCTGCACTGTGCGTTCGTTCAAAGCTTATCAATACTAAAAGTATTTTAAACACTGCATACCAAAGAAAATATAAAGGAAATGTTGATTTACCTCTTTCCCTTCGTGAACAGTTTGGGGGTGGTTGGATTTGATAATGTTTTGTAGAAAAGTCCAATGTTCTGAATCAATCAATCAATCAATCAATCAATCAATCAATCAATCTATCTATCTATCTGTGCATCCTTCCATCTGTCTCTTTCCATCCATCCATCCATCCATCCATCCATCCATCCATCCATCCATCCATCCATCCATCCATCCATCCATCCATCCATTCATCCATCCATCCATCCATCCATCCATCCATCCATCCATCCATCCATCCATCCATCCATCCACCCACCTGTCTGTCCATCCATTTTTATATATATATCCTTCTATTTATTCATCTATCTCTCTGTCTGTCCATCCATCCATCCATACTTCCATCAACCTGTCTCTGTCCATTCGTGCTTCTCTCTATCCATCCTTTTATCCATCTATGTCTGTCCATCCATCCATCCATCCATCCATCCATCCATCCATCCATCCATCCATCCATCCATCCATACATTCATTCACCTATCTGTCTGTTCATCCATCCTTTTATCCATGCATCCGTCCATCCATGCATCCTTCCATTTGCCTATCTCTCTCTGTCCATCCATCCATCCATCCATCCATCCATCCATCCATCCATCCATCCATCATCTGTCTCGTTTATCTATCATTTTATCCATCCATCCAACCACCCATCCATCCGTCTATCTGTCTCTACCATCCATCATTTTATCCATTCATCCCTCTGTCTTTCTGTCGATCCATCTATCTATTTATCCATCTTTTTATTCACCATCCATCCTTACATCCATTCATTATCAATCCATCTATTCATTTTTCCATCCATTTATACTTACATTAATTCATCCATCCTTTTATCTAGCCGCCTATCTGTCTCTGTCCATTCATCCATCCATACATACATTTATGCATTCTTTTATCCATCCATCCATCCATCCATCCATCCATCAATCCATACATCCATCCATCCATACATCCATTACAATATGGCAAAATCATCCTCTGTATATTGCAGCTAGCATATTTTTCTTTCATCCAGGCCTGAACTGGAGCTCATTCATATCTCGCACTCAAACGTAACACCCACAGGTATGAGGTGTCAGACAAATAATTATCAGCACGGCCCGTTACCCCGAAACCCACTGCCTGATTGACTGTGTAAACATGCCATTGACATTTGCCTAATTAAAGTGCATTCAATTACAGCGCAACAGTTAAAATGTGCTGGAATGTTTATGGTCTCCGATTTTCTGTCAGATTCACTCTGCCCTAACAACATGTTATTGATCCATTCCCCGGCATGCTGTGATTTCTCAGGTTGCGTTGTGGGTAAAGTATAAAGGCTTGATGTGGCATCACACAAAGGCCGTACGACTCGACTCATTTTAAGCGTGATTTACAAAGGCTCCGTTCACTGTGCATCCAAATCCCTCAAGAACCAATACCTTATGTAGTCTGACTAATCAAGGTCTAACGGAAAACCCTAGAGATCCCTCAGCTGCTTGTTTGTATGATACACGCAGATGAGACTGGAAGAACAAGGCCATGACGTTCCAAGTGCAGTGACATGTAAAGTGATGATACAAACACAAGTCATTGGCAACGCTTTATAATATCTCTCATTAATAGATAATTATTAATAGCCCCTTTCATTAAAAGGGCTTTAACTAGTGTATTATGATGTGTATGGGTCAATAGGTAAAGTACAGTCAAAAATTATAAGCAGATCTGCACCCAAAATGTTTATTTTTTGGCTTCTTTTATTTTAAACACTTAGACACAGAAGTAAAAGAGTAGGTGTCTGAAAATATCAGACAGATTCAAACTCATATGTGCACCAAAAAGGTAATAATTTACAATACGTTTTCAATTGTTAGTTAAGACTAGCATTGAACACATTTTCATAGGGATTTATACATTAGTATCTCTATGAATGCTTTAAAATGACACATTTTTGAGTGAATTATTAATTCATTCATTCCTTTTCCTTTACCTTAGTCTCTTATTTATCTAGGATCGCCACAGCAGAATGAACCGCCAACTATTCCGGCATATGTTTTACACAGCGGATGCCCTTCCAGCACCCAGTACTGGGAAACACCCATACACTCTCACATTCACACACTATGGCCAATTTAGTTTACCCAACTCATTTTTAGTGCATGCCTTTGGACTGTGGGAGAAACCTACGCGTATACGGGGAGAACATGCAAACTCCACACAGAAATGCCAACTGGCCCAGCCAGGACTCGAACCAGAGACCTTCTTGCTGGGAGGCAAGTGTGCTAACCACTGAGCCACTTTGCCACCTAAAGTGAATTAAGATAAAAATTTATATAATAACATATTAATATTTTTAACATAAATTAGCCTATTACAAGGCTCTATGTAGGTACTCAATTCTGATTGGTCAATTATAATATTACAAGGTATGTTTTTCTAACGAAATCTCAAGGCAATTGTAACTTTTTGATTTAGTGGCTAATTTATATTAAATTGTACATTTTATAACGATATGCTCATTCCTCAATGAGGAGAAGGCTTAGAGGTGTGTTTTGAGGGCACACTTCCTTTTAAAAATCATACGTTATTATATTAAATTGTATGAATTTGTAGAAATTAGTCAATATGTAAATTTGTTATGTTTCCTCATGAGATCGAGCTTCCCAAAAAACAACTGCTGAAACTGATAACATAGGCTCATTTGCGTACTACGAATCAGCTTCACTATTAGTGAATACATTTATGTTTATATCTGTCAAGGAGCTGTACTGGATTGTTTGGCGCCATCTTGTGACTGAATAATAAGCAGATTAGTGTAGGCTGCGTCCAGCCATTTTAGTTTTTGTCTGCATCACATTTAATTAGAGGTAATACATTTCCACATAAAAATATAGTAATTTATGATAAATAATATTGTGTTTTCAAACCATACTATGGTAAAGTCTATTATACTGTATTTTTATAGTGTTTACAACACAAGTAAATGAATGCTCCAGCATACAAAAGTATTAATTATGCAGAAGTGGTAAATTGCAGATAAATACTGCAGTATACTTTGCTGCAGTAAACTGTTGTGTATTGTAGGATAACATCCACTAAAGTTACAATATTAGGTCATCTGTGAATATTACTAAAGTTATACTAGAATTGCCTCAACACCAATTACCTTTCACCTGTTTTATGCCCGCTCAGATCAATGTTTTGTGTCTAATTCAGGGCTATTCAATTGATGGCCGTGCGTCTGTTCAATACAGCACGAGCTACAGTTGAAGGCTGCACAGAGAGTGAGTCACGTGACATTAAGCGATAGGTGCGAGCTGCCAAAAACATTTGGATATGTTTGTAGAAAAGGCCTTTTGTATCGTTAATAGAGATGCAATGATTAGCCGATTTCACAATTGATCACACTTTAATTCAATGCAGTTAATTAATCATAAAGGCTTCTCAACGCCACATTTCTGTTGCACAGAACAAAACTGCTGCAACTAAACAAAGTTATGCCAACTGTGTGCTAGTTTAAAGTTCTAAGCTTTTACCTAGGCTAATACACAAGCACATTGGATTAACTGTAGCAGCAGGCTGTTCACATAATGCGTCTTTTCCGCACGCAAGTTCATTATTTCCAATGGAGACGTGGACATGTTGGGAGCGGTGCGCACACAGTAGAAATCATCTCACGCTGTAGTGGTTGCGTGCTTTTAGTGCAATGTAAACAAAAGATACATTGAACGAGTTATTGCAAATTATTAAAATGATTATGTATGTATGAACGCAGATAATAACAACAGTTCATTTGAATTATTAGCTAATTAGTTAAATTAACATTAGACAAATCAGATTTTTCATTTTTTCTTATTTTTATTTATTTATTCATTCCTTCGTCACTTATGTTTATTTTTTAAAATGATCACTCATGTTAAAATCAAAAACTTTTTCCAAAGAGAAAAATGCACTATTGTTTGCTTCTTATTAATATTTTGTGCTGTATTTGGTTACTAAGCAGCAATAAACAACACTTTAAATATGTTTTCTTGTGATTTTCGAAACTCGTATTGTTTTGATTTTAATAAATGCATAATAATGGTGATAACTATGAAACCATGGTTCTTCTTTAGACTATAATCTTACAACCAAAATCTATAATCATTGTATCCCTAAATGTTACAGAGTTCAAAACATAACATATGGATGTGTCTGAATAGAAGCCTTCTTGAGCTATACACTGATTTTGTTGGGCTTTGAAATAAATTTGAATATGTGGTAACACTTTATTTTGATTGTTCACTTGAGTATTAGTAGACTGTCTGCTTAATATCTGTAGATATTGAGATTCAAAAGATATTTAACTGACTATAAGAAACTTTGCAAGTATGTAACCCCAACCTTAACCCCAATCAAACAGTCTACTTATAATCTAATGAGAATAAGTTGGCATGTAGCTGCAATGTACCTTAAATTTAACAAATGGACCATCAAAATAAAGTGTGACCGAATATGTTTGTAAAAAAAAGCCACATTGTACAATGCAGTGATGTTATGTAGTTTCAAAATACAGCATATTAATGTTTTAATGTAGAAAAAGCCAATGTGGGTGCCTTGAGGAGCAAAAATACAGCATTTCGGCTCTTATATTGATGTTGTGTCATCGCTTATATTGCAAGTCATATCTCTTCGGCCCCTCATTTGGGATGCTTTTCATGAACTGGCCCCCATGACAAACTAATTGAACAGCCCTGGTCTAATTGTTCAGTTTTGCTGAGAGTAGCCATATAAAAAGCAGAATAATGTACATTTAGATGGTTGTTTTTGCAGAATAAAGCCTTTCTGGAGAACAACTACCTAGATTATTACCACACTATCCCTTATTAACTTAAATTACAGACAACATGAAGGAATTAAGTTAGCTCATTAGTTTTTACAAATTTAAGTGGATTAATCATAAAACAATCAAGTTGTCTTAAAAAAACAACTCAAGAATTGTGTTGTTTCAATTCATTTTATATAAATAGTTTGAACAAACAGCAAACATCATTTTTTGGAGTGCTTAACAAAGCAATATCTAATTGTTTAATATAACGGCGTTTTTATGAAACACAACAACAATATTTGGCAATGCTAATGTTCTTAATAGAAGTTATAATAAAGTGTTGCCAATGTATGAAATGTCAGAAAGTTACTGAAAAATGACAGCTTTACTAGAGGCGTTTCTCACCATGTAGATTCCTCCAAACAAGGCCATGAATTTGCTCAACAGAGCAGCACACAGACTGGCAACGTGAACAAACGGTCCCTAGAGGACGCAAGAGGAGATTGAAATAACAGATGTGATCACAGGCCAAGGGCTTAAAGTATTGCAGCATTAGCGAGCTTATCTGGGATCAGATATCCCCATCTCATGCACCTCTTTGCCCAGAGGCATGCCACTTCCAAGGGCACAAGTTAAGCCAATCACTTTGGCGACGAAGGTTTTGAAAGTGAGGTACTCTTTCAGCACCACACCTCGGAGGATGGTCTTCATCTCTGGGATCCCAGAGCCTGGAGGAAGAAATGACCAATGGGGGTTACAAAGAGATCTGAGAGCACATAAAGGCCGTTTGACGTAAATTGATTACGTGAGTCAGTGTGTGCGTTGCTCTCTCTCACCCACTGCCTGTGGCGCCAAGATCTGTGTGAAGCCGGCGGAGAAGGTGATGAGGACCACTGGGTACGTGACCCAGGCCAGATACTGCAGCAACATGTTACTGTGCAGACCGCGGTACATCCACTTCTGTGCTGCAGACACCGACACACACACACAGCACATAATTACACCTCTGCAGAGGACTGCGCTTATGTACTACTCTGTTATTTTTAGTCAAAATAGTGTGAGTAGTGCTTTCACGCTGAAAATTATATAAAGAGAAAGTGTTACTATGCAGACCAGCGTACATCCATTTCTGTGCTGCCGACATAATTACAGCTCTGAAGAGGCATAAGGTGCATACTAATTGGCATGCACTATTCTGTTACATTTTGGGTGTGAATGAGCGATTGTCATACTTGAAATGGATAACCTTGGGTCACTCTAAACCCCAGGAAAAGAAAATCCAGAGTAATCTCGCTTCATGTTTCAGAATACTTTACTTAGTGTTCACAGTTACCGCTGGATGTTTGCTGATGTTTCACACTGTACATTCCTGAACCCTGAAGTTTACTTTCTTATTTGCATTTCTTTAGTGGCTCTCAAAGGCATCCTGATCTTATGTGCTGACTGCACTATTTCTCAAAATGGAGTTTTCAGACTATAAATGCAGGAAATTTCCAGGTTCTTTGTTTTACATCACCATTTGACATACATCTACTCATGTGCTGAAACTGCTGTTTACACTGCAAAAATGCTTTCTTACTTATAGTTTTCAGTTACAGTGTTCAGCCTCACTGACAAGTGGCAGATCCATTTGTATTGAAGTTTAAAGGTGCCATAGCATTTATACAATATGTCAACTTTTTTATGATGTCTAAACAGAAGGTATGTGGCGTAGATGAGTGCAAAAACTTTGTATATATACTTACTGGCCACTTTATTAGGTACAAGTGCTTGTTAATGCAAATTTCTAATTAGCCAATCACATGGCAGCAAGTCAAGGCATTTAGGCTTGTAGGCATGGTCAATGAGGAAGAAAGGCGAGTTAAGGTGACTTTGAACATGGCATGGTTGTTGGTGCTTGACAGGCTGGTCTGAGTATTTTAGAAACTGCTGATCTATTGGAATTTTCACACAACCATCTCTAAGGTTTACAGAGAATGGTTCAAAAAGGAGAAAAAATTAGCTGTGAGCGGCAGTTCTGTGGGTGCAAATGCCTTGTTGATGCCAGAGGTCAGAGGAGAATGGCCCGACTGGTTCCAGCTGTTTGAAAGGCAACAGTAACTCAAATAACCACTTGTTAAAACTGAAGTATGCAGAACAGCATCTCTGCACAAAGCATCGAACCTTGAGGCGGATGTGCTACAGCAGCAGAAGACCACACCGAGTGCCACTCCTGTTAGCTAAGAACAAGAAACTAAGGCTACAATTTGCACAGGCTCACCAAAATTAGACAACAGAAGATTGGAAAAACTTTGCCTGGACTGATTTCGATTTCTGCTGCAACATTCGGATGGATGGGTCAGAACTGGGCGTCAACAACATAAAAGCATGGATCCATCCTGCCTTGTATCAACGGTTCAGGCTGCTGGTGGTGATGTTATGGTGTGGGTGATTTTTTTCTTGGCACACTTTAGGCTCATTAGTATTCATTGTGCAGAATTGTGTATTGTTGCTGACCATGTCCATGCCTTTATGGCCATAGTGTACCCATCTTCTGTTGGCTACTTTCAGCAGAATAACACGCTATGTCAAATGGCCTCTGGAGTCACCAGATGTCAATCTAATAAAGCACCTTTGGGATGTGGTGGAACAGAGAATTCGCATCATGGATGTGCAGCCAACAAATCTGCAGCAACTGCGTGATGCTATCATGTCAATATGGGCCAAAATCTCTGAGGAATATTGCCAGTTCCTTGTTGAATCTATGCCAAAAAGGATTAAGGCAGTTCTGAAGGCAAAAGGGGATCCAACCCAGTACTAGCAAGGTGTGCCTAAAAAAGTGACCAGTGAGTGTACATAGTAAGTATGACACAAGCTTAAATACATTTAAAAATAAGGGTAAAAAATGTTCATTGTTGTAATCTCCTTAGGAAACATTGTGCCAAATCAAACGCTGTTGGGGGCATGCATATTAATGATCCTTTGTGAATCTTCACAGTCATTGCATTGTTTTAATTGGCCTTTTTTTCACTGGGATTTTACACTAACAGGATTTACAAGAGTAAGAAAACAATAGTCTTTGAGTCTCATTCATTCATTCTTTCATTCTTTCATTCATTTTCTTTTTAGCTTAGACCCTTTATTAATCAAGGGTCGCCACAGCGGAATGAACCGCCAACTTGTCCAGCATATGTTTTACACGGCGGATGCCCTTCCAGCCGCAACCCATTTCTGGAAAACCATACACTCTCATTCACACACATACACTACGGACAATTTTAGCATACCTAATTCACCAGTACCACATGTCTTTGGACTGTGGGGGAAACAGGAGCACCTGGAGGAATCCCACGCATATGCAGGGAGAACATGCAAACTCCACACAGAAATGCCAACTGACCCAGCCAAGGCTTGAATCAGCTATCTTCTTGCTGTTAGGTGACAGCACTACCTACTGCACCACCGCGTTGCCTGTTTGAGTGTCATGTTATGTCATGTCAATTCATTTAATCCTTTACTTGTCAGCTTAGTCCCTTTATAAATCCGGGATCACCACAGCGGAATGAACCGCCAACTTATCCAGCACATTTTTTTTTACGCAGCAGATGCCCTTCCAGCCGCAACCCTTCTCTGGGAAACATGTAGGTAGTGTAGTGCTGTAAGGCGACAGCACTACCTACTGCGCCACTGCACTGCATAAACTTATATTATTATTCATTATTTTCATGGCACCTTTTAACTGATGATTGATGTAATCTGGAAAACTGTTCAAAGCCTGTTTATATTCACCTGAATACATTTACAGTATGTGCATATTAAAAACTACAATATCAAAACAAAAGTATGGAACCAGTGTAAGATGTGCCAACATTTTTTAAAAGTGTTTCTAACAATTTTATTGCCAGATATATAGTTTGGGCTATCAACAATTCAATTTTATGTTTTCAAGGCCTGTTCAAGACGTTAAATTACAGTGGTGAATGTACGTTGTTATTTTATATTTTACTATTAATTTTCTGTATTTAAATGCCTGAAAACAATGAAAAAAACATCAAGACACCAGTTGTTCTATTTGTATCACTGACTGTTGTAATAATCAGCTTGTAATTTATTATATTTTATGCACATGCACCCCCTTATAAAATGTGTGGATGTATATATAAACTGCGGCTAGATTCACAGTAAATAAAGTTTCACACTTTGACATTTTACTCTGAATTCTAACATAACACAGCCATTTTATACTTTTGGTGTGTACAGCGTATGATAATTTACAATAAGAAAAACTCTAACTTCAAACACTGTATATGGATGGTTTAATTATATTTTCTTAAAAAAATATATATTTTTCTTAAAAAAAAAAAACTATTTTCTAATTTCTAAGAACAGGACTGGGTACTTCAGGGATGCATCCGGAAGCCATAAAATGCTGCCATTAAATGATGCATTCAAGGTGGGAAGGCATCTAGGCATCCTAATTCTAATCCAGCTTCACTTCCTTTCTCCTTGGAGACCTTCATCTGATTGATTTTTGAAGGCAGCATATATGTATATTTCGCCGCCTTTGATACCCTATAATCCTGCGCATTTCATTTCTGACAGTTGAGATAAAAATAAATAAATAAAGAAGCTGTCTGAAAGCTGTTTGGCGGTGACTTTGTGTGTAAATATAAACTTTTTCCACTTTTAATATCATTTATTGCAATAAATTTGTATTGTAGTATTAAATTATTAACCTATACACAACTATACAGTATACTTTATACTATATATTGTGTATATTTATTATGTATGTACAGTTAAAGTCAGAATTGTAACCCTTTGAATTTTTTTGTCTTTTTTTTAAATGTTTGCTAAATTATGTTTAACAGAGCAAGGAAATTTTCACAGTATGTCTGACAATATTTTTTCTTCTGGAGAAAGTCTTATTTGTTTTTATTATTGGTAGAACAAAAGCTTTTTAAAAAAAAAATATTTTAAGGTCAAAGTTATTAGCCCTTTTAAGCTAACTTTTTTTTCGATAGTCTACAGAACAAACCACTATATATACAGTACTTGCCTAATTACCCTAACCTGCCTGGTTAACCTAATTAAACTAGTTAAGCCTTTAAATGTCACTTTAAGCTGTATAGATGAAAAATACAGTCTGAAAAAAAGCATCTAGTAAAGTCTAGAAAAAGCATCTAGTAAAATATTACTTACTGTCATTATGGCAAAGATTAAATAAATCAGTTATTAGAAATGAGTTATTAAAACTATTATGTTAATAAATGGGTTGAGAAAATCCTCTTTCTGTTAAACAGAAACTAGTGAAAAAATAAACAAGGGGTCTAATAATTCAGGGGGGATAATAATTCTGACTTCAACTGTATATATGTAAATACAAGCATGTACTGTATATAAAATAGACCAATATCAAATATATATATATATATATATATATATATATATATATATATATATATATATATATATATATATATATATATATATATATATATGATACAAATTATATTGTATTTTGATACATTTAAATATCTTAGTAACTAAAGAGTTTTAATTAGTTTTGTTATGTGTGCGTATCACATATACATAGTAAATACATAGTATATACATAGTATATATATTATGTCAAAACATTTTGAATGTGATTAATCTTTGCCCAGCACTGAATAAAATACACATGATAATAATATAATAAATATTCAATCTGAATATACCACATTCCCTTTAGTTCGATTTTATCTTAAGTGTCCTTAATTACTATGTACTTGCATCTAAAATTAATAATTTGGAACAATGCACCTATTGTATCCACTACTTTAGTCATTTACTTAACAAAAGTCTTGTTGTCGAACCCAGCTGTAAGAGCAACAAATAATAAATTGACTTCTAGTTGATCATTTGGAAAGTGGCAGAAGGAAGATTTTAGATGAATCTATTTTAGATGAATCTGTTAAACTGCATCCCAATCATGGGGTTACATTCAGCATGGGGGTGTTCAAAAGATCTGCAGAGTAAATGGCAACATCAACAGCCTGAGGTATCAAGACATTTGTGCTGCCCATTACTTTACAAATCACAGGAGCAGGCAGATTCTTCAGCAGGATAGCACTCCTTCTCATACTTCAGCCTCCACATCAAAGCTCCTGAAAGCAAAGAAGGTCAAGGTGCTCCAGGATTGGCCAACCCAGTCACCAGACATGAACGTTATTGAGCATGTCTGGGGTAAGATGAAAGAGGAGGCATTGAAGAGGAATCCAAAGAATCTTTATGACTTCTGGGAGTCCTGCAAGAACACTTTCTTTGCCATTCCACTTTATTAATACGTGATTTGAGTCATTGCAGAGATGTATAGATGCAGTCCTCCAAGCTCATGGGAGTCATACACAATTTTAATCATTTTTTCACTGCACCATGACTTTATATACTATACTGGACATTATATCTGTTAAGTGGCAAGACTTTTGTCTAAGCACAGTCAGACTTTACTGTCCTAATTGAATAATTAAAAATCAAAGCATGATCATATTTTATTTTGGTAAAATAAGAGGCCTTTGCCTTTAATATAAGCCACTTCTGAAACCAAATGATCAACTAGAAGACAAGCTATTATTTGTTGTTGCTAAAACTTGAATAGGCCACAATACTTTAGTCAGGCAGTGTACATCCAAGGGACTTACAACATTTTTTATACTTTTAAAATAATCTGTAATCTGTAATAATCATCAAAATGTTTGCAGTGTCTGGTAACATTTTTAATAAACGCTAGCAGAAAAAGAGTTAAGAATCATCTTTGACTTTCTCAGTTGACTGACTTACCCTGAGGCCCTGTTCTATATGACAGGCTTGATATGTTGCAAAGGTAGTCATATGTAATTTGTCAGTTTATCATTCTGAGGGGTGTGTGTTAAACACAGTCATAGAAAACAAAGACCTGTGTGGAATAAAAAATAAATAAAAAGCTTTAACTAAACCCCTTGATGTAACCAGGATTTACTTTCATGTGAGTGCGTATCATTTTTAGGACATCTGTCAAAAGTACTAGTTGTCAAATTTGTATATTCCCGAGGTGTTTTTAAATGGGGAAAACACTTCACATACTTTAAGCTAATGCTGAAATGTTGACCTTGAAATGTGCCGTTATTGTTAGCTGATTGAACTGCCACATCCCCAGTCCTCTGCTCCTTGTAAATAAAATCATTATTTGCCAAAAAAAGAAGTCAGTGAGTTGGCACCAATTCGTTCCAGCATTAATGCACCTTCCGTCCCAGAATGCACTCGATAACGATATACCTCACTGGAAAAAAACACAATACTTGACTGATTAAATGACACCATCTGTACTTTCATGGAACCCTGTGAAGCAGAAAATTGTCCTTTTCTCTCTCCTCACTCTTTTCTTTTTCTCACCTTGCTGGCAGAAGGCAATAGTGTAGTCCATAGCCCAGCTGACCAGTGCCATGAGAAGCCCCAGGAGGATAAGGAAGATCCAGTCTTCACCCACACGGGAGATCAGGAACTTCTTACAGCGTGATGTACAGACTGTAAACAAACGATAAAAGGATATTTCACTCAAAAATTCTAATTCAGTGATCATTTACTCAACCTCTTCTCATTTCAAACCTGCAACCAAAGCACTGAAGCTTAGTCTTGTACAACATCATATTCAAGCTATGCTGTGCTTTCAAAACTTGTCTACTTTTTTGAAGTGTGTTTTGAAAAACAACCTCTTGTTTCTCTCAGATTGTTCAATCAGTGAGTAATTGCATTCAATTGGAGTTGTTTCATTTAAAAGTAGACATTTCAGAGATTACTGAAAATTCGTCCTGTTTGATTTTTCCATTATATTAAATGTTTTGTTAATTAATTATAATTAATGTGTTTTGTTGTAACAGCATGTACAAATATAAAGGTAGGCCAACTACATGCATTAACCTTAACAGTTTGACTAAAAAACATATTCTTTCCACTGTCATTAGGTAAATAACCAAGTAAACATGGTGGTACATTCATATCTAACGATGTGTGCGCCGTGGTAATAGTCGCTCAGTTTACAGAATCAGTTCCTCAAGGATCCATTTTGAGCCCTATTCTGTTTAGTCTGTATATAAATGACCTAACACAAACCTGTCCTACTATTAATATTCACAATTTTATATTTTTAATAGACAATTTTAGACAATTTTATAAAAACAAACGGTAAAGTCTAGATCAGATATTCAATTCAATTCAATTCAGCTTTATTTGTATAGCGCTTTTACAATGTAGATTGTGTCAAAGCAGCTTCACATAAATGGTCATAGTAACTGGAACAGTGTGGTTCAGGTTTTAGTGTTTAAGTTCAGTTCAGTTCAGTTTAGCTCAGTATATGCGGCCGGCCGGAAGTGCGATATGCACATTATTATAGCAGCATTTTTTTATGACACTGTATAACAATAATTAACAATTTTACAGTGCTGTGGCGGTTGGGTTTAGGGTTGGGGTGGGAGTAGGCGTTAAAAAATACAATTTATTGGGTAATTTAATAGATAACATAAATAATACTCTGAACTACAACTGTTTTTACATTATTGTGATGATTGGGGTGGGACGGAGGTAGAGGTTAATAAAATACAATAAGTGGTTTATAGAAATGTAATAAATAATAGAAACAATTAACTGAAAGAAACAGAAAGAAATAATTTCCAGCTGCAAACGTATACGATCTAGCAATGACCAAAACAAACAACTAGCAGCAAATGATTTAACCGAGGCATTGGTTCATGTCTCTGATTGGTTGTGTGACTCATATCCTTTTGAATATAAGTAAAACGGTTTGTGTGTTTTTTCACAATCATTGACAGTTATCCATCATCCTGATGTATTTATTAAAGGAGCTCATGGTAGTCTTTGATTTCGAATATTGAGGTCTAATTTTAAATTCACAATTGACACTTTAAAAAAACATGCCAAGAAGGTCATTAAAATTGTTATATTTAAACTGGCCAACTTCAGGCTTATACCCTACTTGACTAATGAAGCTGCTAAATTTCTTATGCACTCTATGATGTTCTCTCTTATTACATATTGTCTTACTAGTTGGTCATACACCAGTAAAACAGTTTTAAAATCAGTTGAATCACTTTATAAACAGGTATCATCATTGTAATATAATACAAAAACACTATTTATTGAGCTTTGATAATATTAAATATTTGGCTGACACTTGTATGATTTTTAAAAATTTTAATGGATATGCTCTATGTCCATTATGTAAGTTTGTGACACACAAAAATAATAATTGTCAAGCAACACAATCTATTACTAGAGGAGACTGTGCTATGCAGTTTAGGCGCACAACATTTGCACGGTCAGTCTTCTCATTTAGAGCCAGTCATTTCTGGAACACACCTTCTATAGATTTAAGGGGTGTTACAAATTATTCAACAATTAAATACAAGTTAAAGAAAAGGCTAAAAGCAAATCAAGTTTGTAATTCTTTTGTCTAACATTTTAAGAAATTATTTTATGTTTTATCCTTTTGTCGTATGTAGCTTTACTGTGATTGTATGTGATGATGTGTTTTCTGATTTTAGGTTGCCTTTTAAAATCTGGCAGGGGCAACAGATGAACATTAGCCCTTGTGAATAACTCTGGCTTATTTACAGTTCTACTGTTGATTAATGAACATTGTCCCTGTCACATTTCAAATCACTAACACAGATAATCATACTTTGAACCAACTTAAGGTTTTAGTTTTTTAAAATATAATTTATTGTATTATAAAATATGTATTGGGTCAAGAAAAAAAATACATATACACAAAGTAAAAATATTGTTTACTAGCACAAGTTTTTTACCCTAACATCAAATTTTGCTTCGCATTGACTTTAAAAAATACTGTAATTTGTTCGAATTCTTCTCAAATTATAGTTTTAACTTAGTTGAAAGTAAAAGTTTAATTTATTATTAATCAAAAAAGTTTTTCTGCCCATGGGGAAAAATACAATCAATTAAAGGTAAAATAGTAAAAAGTAAATTTGTGCCTTGGATGAAACAATAACATATACATGTAATATTGGGCTATGTTACTGCTATTTATTTTATATTCAAGATCTGAGGTAAACTATCTGCTGGTGTTTCAGTATGGCTATAAATACTATGCAGGATAGTAAGGCAAGGCAAGGCAAGTTTATTTATATAGCTCATTTCATATACAATGTAATGTAATGTAATATAATGTGTATTTATATAGTGCATTTATTGTGTATGGCCATACACCCAAAGCGCTTCACAATTATGAGGGGGGTCTCTCCACACCACCACCAGTGTGCAGCATCCATTTAGATAATGCGACGGCTGCCACAGGACAACGGCGCCAGTGCACTCACCACACACCAGCTATTGGTGGAGTGGAGAGAGTGATCGAGCCAATTTGGTGGAAGATTGGGATGATTGGGAGGCCATGATCGTATGGGCCGATAGAGGGACTTTGGCCAGGACACCGGGGTTACACCCCTGCTCTTTCAAGAGAAGTGCCATGGGATTTTTAATGACCACAGAGAGTCAGGACCTCGGTTTAACGTCTCATACGAAAGACGGCGCCCACTGACAGTATAGTGTCCCCTTCACTTTTACTGGGGCATTAGGACTCACATAGACCTCAGGTTGAGCGCCCCCTGCTGGCCTCACTAACACCACTTCCAACAGCAACCTGTTGTTCCCTAGTTTTCTCCCATCCAGGAACTAACCAGGCTCAGCCAGCCCTGCTTAGCTTCAGTGAGTAACCGGTCTTGGGCTGCAGGGTGATATGCCTTTGACAATAGTAATTCAAGGTGCTTTACATAACCAGAAATAAAGGATACAAGAGAATAAAAATAATAAAAAATGATTAAACAGATAAAAATGATTAAAATGTGTTAAAACATGTTTTTAAAGAATGAAAGAGAAGACAAAAAAAAAAAAACATAATCGTGCAATCTGTCAGATGTAGCACAGTGCTCATTCAGTAAACATGTGATTTGAATAATGTCGGATCACATTTGATCATTTCTGGAAGCTAACTCCAGCAGCAGGGGGCGCAGTAGCTGTAGGAAGATTCACCCTGCTTTGACTGAACTATTAGAATTTCATATTTACTTGCTCCTAAAGATCTGAGTGGTCTGTTAGGTTTGTATTCAGTGGGCGTATCTGTAATGTATTGAGTTCCTAGGCCATTTAGTAATTTATAGACACTTGTAGAGACCTGAGGACAGGTGTGATGTGCTCTGATTTTCTGGTTCTGGTCAGAATTCCGGTAGAAGCGGATGAGCTTCTACTGTCTGACTGTCTTTTTGGGAAGGCAAGAAAGGATTCCATAACAGTAATCCGCTCTGCTGGTGATAAAAGCATGAACAAGCTTCTCTCTGTCCTCAAGTCCTCACTGGATACAAAGCATCTAATTCTTGCAATGTTTTTGAGATGATAGTATGCTGATTTACTTACTGCTTTGACATGACTACTGAAACTCATATCTGATTCCAGAATCACAACAAGATTCTTGACCTTATTTTATGTTGTTTGACCCTTAAAATCAAGGTACACATTGACCTAAAGAATCTCTGTTCCCAAATACACTGAAGAAAGTTTAACGGAAGAAAGTAATCAAACTCGCATTGGAAACACACACACACACACACACACACACACACACACACACACACACACACACACACACACACACACACACACACACACATACACATACACATACACATACACACACACACACATACACATACACATACACATACACACACACACATACACATACACATACACACACACACACACACACACACACACACACACACACATATATATATATATATTTTTTTTTGTTAAAGTAACTTTATAGGCTATTACTATTACTATTGTTGTTGCCATGACGTGTATAAATACAAACATGTTTCTAAAAAACATATGTTGATATTGCGGGTGCTTAGGATAAAAACACAGATTACATTACATTACATGAAAAAGATTGAATGTTTACCTTGTCTAAACAAGAATTACTATGGTCAGAGACCAGTTTCCTATTTGAATCGTGTAATGGCAGATAAGAAATCTGGTCAGGAAGGTATGTAATGTGGTCACATGAAATAAAAACTGCTGGTTTAATGTAGAAGCAAAAAAAAAACTAATTTGAGAAAAACTAATTCTTCTGTTAATAAGGCTAAAATCAGAAACCATAATTTTTTCATTTAATCTAATATAAAAATGTACTTTGAATGAAAGACACTGTCATTTAACTTTTTTCAGTGATTGACCCCATTAGATGTGTCATCTAGATAGTTCATTTTAATTCTAGAAAGGTCTAAATGGCAATCATCGCTAATGTTGGAGTAATTGCCAGTTGTTTAAGCCAAGAAACCACAATCTATGGAAAAACTGCAGTAAAAAAGGGAACTCTGACAGAAATGAAGTTTGACATAGAGACTGTTTCTGTTGTTCAGCTAGGACATTAAGTTGTACAAAACACTGCAAAACAATATCAGCTAATTAGCAGTTGTCCAGCTTGTGAT